TTTTTCTCCTCCTCCCCCCACTCTTCTCTCCTCCTCCTCCTCTCCTCCTCCCACTCTCCTCCTCCTCCTCCTCCTCCCTCCTCCTTCTCTTTCCCCCACTCCTCTCCTTCTCCTCCTCCTCCTCCTCTTCCTCCTCCTCGCTCCTCCTCCTTCCTCTCCTCCTCCTCCTCCTCCTCCTCCTCCCCCCACTAGTCCTCCTCCTCTTTCCCCCACTCCTCCTCCTCCTTCCTCCTCTCCTCCTCCCTCCTCCCTCCTCCTCTTCTCCTCCTCCTCCCTCCGCCTCCTCCTCCTCCTCTTCCTTCTCCTTTTTTCTCCTCCTCCCCCACTCATCTCTCTCCTCCTCCTCCTCCTCCTCCCTCCCCTTCTCCTTCTCCTCCTCCTCCTCCTCCTCCTCCTCCTCCTTCTCCTCCTCCTCCTCCCCCTCCTCCCCCTCCTCCCGCTAAGGGCCCAAAGAAGGCCCTTAGGGCCCACCTTTCTCCCTGGCGGCCCCGTCGGTGGCCCCGTCGGCGGCGAGCCCGGGTACGGGGACGGGGGGGGGAAAGTGAGGATGGGGCGGGCCTTCTCAGAAGGCTCGGAGGTACCCCGACCTTCTGAGAAGTCTCCCGAGGCTTCCCCGAAGACGCAGACACCCCCCCCCAGAAGGCGCGATGCCTTCCGAGAAGCTCCGACGCCCTCTGAGGAGGCCTTCCCCTTCTCACTTCCGGCCCTCGCTCGCCGCCGACTCTGCCCCCGCACGCTTGGCGGGGCTGTGCTTGTTCGGCGGCGTCTTTATCGAGGAGGGGGCAGCGGCATAAGCATGCACTTTCGCGGAGGCCCGCGCGGACCTTCGCGAGTGCATATGCTTATGCTGATTATTTTGGTTAGTTTGCTTCCTGCGCCGTGCTCCAGAGACATCTTCCTTCAGCCCGTCCTGCTTGCCTCTCTTTCCTCCCCCCTCCTCCCTCATCCCTTCGCTTCTGCTTCCTATTCCTTGCCTCCTCCTGTCGCTGGCGCACAAGCTGCGACCGCCCCACTGGTTTTCTGGATGAGGCCAGTTGCTGGAACAGTACGGCCTTTGGAGGCGCACCAGTTCGATGTTTGGCACGGTGCCTCCGTGAATTGTCCGACGACCGCCTCATATCCTTACATGACGGGTCTGGGTACCCTGCAAGACTGCAGCTCGTTTGGTGCTCTCCTCGTCTCGGGAAGCGCAAGCACCGATCCTGGGCCCAGGCTCGGACTGGCCAGGATCGGCGAGGTGGTCAGTCGACGTCGCCGGCCCTCTCCTCGCTCCATGCCTCCGTCCTCCCCGTGCCTCTCCCCCCTCTGCGGGCGCGGTTGCACTGCAGGCGCGTGCGCGCGAATACGCGAGGCCACACGATGCACACAGTGCGGGTGTGCGAGGGCATGACTGATGCGAGCGCGCAGACACACGCCCGCACACTCGCGCACACACCCCGTGTCTCACCCGCACGCCCACGCCCACACGTTGGAGGCTGGGAGTGTGAGGTCCAGACATCCACCACATTGACAACACATGCCTTACCGTTGTCCCACTCAGGCTTGTCTAAGGGGTTCTTAGTTGGTTAAAGGTTGGCACCTCGGAAGCTTACTTTGCCCGTTCCTCCCAGGTTCCCCTGGTCCCCTGGGTTCCCTGGGTGCCTCATGTCAATCGGGGGCGGCCAAGAGGGGGGTGATGACTAGGGGGGGGGATATCATGTCGGGGGCCATGATATCTCCCCAGATTTCATGGCGCCTCTTCTTATTTCGTTGCGTCGCTGGCCCCCCCCCCTTGGGCCGCGCACATGCCGCCGGCCATGATTTGCACCCCCTCCTCTTGGACACCCCCCTCTGGGCCGCCCCCGAGTCAAGCAATGCCAAGCAAAGCCAAGCAAAACCAAAACAGTGCCAAGCAGTGCCAAGCAATGCCCCCCCCGCCCCCCGAGGGGATGGGGGAGGAGTCGGCGGCGTAATCCGAGCCCCACCCTCGCCGTTCGATGTCTGTTCATGGGAGCCTTGGGCGGAGACATTGAAATCAGCTTTTCCTGCATGTGGTCAGCGTGGGGGCCACATTTGGCCCATCCTCCTGCTCCTCCTTTCCCCTCCTGTTCCCCCTCCCCCTCCTCGTTCTCCTAGCCCCCACGAATCCAGTCCAAGGGTCCAAATCCGGTCCATATGTGTTCCAAACCCGGTCCAAATCAGGCCCAAATTGGACAGTGCCGGGCGGGGGCCACGCAGGCTCCCATGGAACGGGCACTAAATCGCCGATCAACGATTCAGGCAGCTCGATTGGCGGCGGGGGTAGGGTTCGGAATTCGTCGAACACGTGGCGACGTCCGAGCCCTACCCCCGCCTTCCATCGATTCGGGAGAGTCGATGGCTGGTGGGGGTGCAGTCAACCCGCATAGGAAGGATGGGCAACGTTCCCAAAGTGTCAAAGGGTACCCTTGCATCCTCGCCCGTTCGGCCCATCCCTGGCGACTTTCGCTGGCCAGCCTCCTTCGACAACAACGTTAGCGTGGCCCTCCAATGCCCTTGCATCCCGACCGCGCGTCCTTATGATTTTGGGTCGACCAGAAGGGGTCGGATCTCGCAAACCAAAGTTCGGATACAAGTCCTGGAAGGTCAAGTTCTGATTCTGCCTTGGTCCGAAGATCGGCTTAATCCAGCTAGATCCCGCACCATCCGGCTTAGTCCTACTTACCCCGGCTTAATCCCGCGTGGTCCGGCTACTTCCCGCCTGATCCGCGGCCCAATCCGGCGTAACAGCCCCGCACTGGGGCTCGATTCTCCCCGGTCCTTCCGACGAGAACCTCCCAGCAGTTGCCTCCTGACCTGAGGAAGGGGGTCGGGCGAAGAGAACTATGCACATGCACCGATCCTGGCAAGGCCCATCCTTGACCCAGGATCGGTGCATATGCCTTCCTGGCCAAGGCAGGAGGGCGTATGCACCGATCCTGGGCTCAGGATGGGCCTGGCCAGAATCGGTGTATGTGCATAGTTCTTTTTCCTCTAGGGGGAGCCCGAGGCCAACTTCTCGCACTTCTTCGGGCTCTACCACGGCCTCCTCCAGACGGAGGACTACGCCACCCGGCGACAGGCCCTGAAGCTGCTCAGCGAGATCCCGGGGGGGGCCTTCGCCCTGCCGCCCGCCCGGGGGGGAGGGCGCGAGGGGCCTCGGAGGGCACCAACTATACACCAACACCGATCCTGGCCAAGGATCACCCTGGGCCCAGGATCGGTGTATATGCCTTCTTGCGCAAGGCAGGCGGGCGTATACACCGATCCTGGGCCCAGGGAGATCCTGGCCAGGATCGGTGTTGGTGTATAGTTGGTGCCTTCCTAGGGCCGTCTTTCAAGGGCGCTCAAAGCGTCCCTGCCCTGGTTTGCCAGGCGCTGTGCGCCGAACCTCCTGTGGGCTGACGGGGCGAACCCTGCATGTCGCGTGTTCCCCGGGCTTCGCCCGCTCCTGGCCGCGTGAGGCCCCGCCTTCCTTCGCCCCTTCTCTGCTGATTACAGCTGTGCGCGTCCCGCTCAGCTTTCAGCGGAAGAGGTTCGCTCTCGCCCTGCAGATCAAAAAGTGTGTCGCGCGGCGTCCTGGCGGCTCTCTGGCCTTTAGGAGCTCCCAGGAGGTTTACGGACCACGCACTTGTAACCCAGGGTTGGGGCGTTTTTGCATCCCTCAATTCTTGTGGCCGAGGTCCCATGTTTCATGGCGCCAGCATCGCAGAGCGGCTGCCGTTCGGGAAACCATGGGATGGTCCGGGATTGTCCTGGAGAGTGTCGTTCTGGATTTCGAAGTGAACTGCGGGCGGATTTTGTTTGGGCGGGAATGGAGACTACAAAACATCTACGTGAAATTCACTTCGTTTTTTGCTCGCCGTTTTGGGATTTTGCGTTGACAGAAATCCACGCAGAAGTCCGCTGCAGCACGTCTGCAAGGTCGTTGCAACGATATTTTCAAGTCGGGCATGTCCCTCTGCAGGAGGAATGTCCAAATCGAGTCAAACAATCATATGGGAACTATTTTTTGACTATGTATGGCTACTTGTGGGCGTATTTGTTAGGCAGTTTTCTATTATTCTCCCAAATTCCGCCTGTAGGAGACATGCCCGACCCAATCCTATCTCTGAAGAGTCAGTCTTGTGCTGTTGATGGTGAACGAGAAGACCCATTCCCAGCTGTTGTTGGCGAATATCCCCCACTGGTGCCCACTGTGCCTTCTTATCAGCGTGACACAGCCTCTTGCCTTCCCGTCCCTTCCTTTTTGCACCCCTGCGCACTCATGAACAGCCTCACTCTCACGTTCAGGTCTACTGACACTCAGACACATCACTCTCATCCACAGACCCATTCATACTTATACCCACTAATGCACAGGCCACTCACATACACTCATACACACTCGCACTCCGACTCACTTACCACACTCAGACTCGCTCACATTCACACTGAGACTCACCGACAACTAGACTCACTGACGCTCTGACCCACCCACATTCAAGCTCATTCGTTTTCAGAAGCTTCACGTCCAGGGCTACTGAGACTCACTGACACACAACCTCACTGACGCTGCGACTCACCGATCTTTCTTTCGCCGAGATCTGGCAGACGTGGCACTCGGGCATCCCAAGGCGGGGCCGCCAGGGGGTCTGACACTCGCCCGTTCGCGGCCAGGCTGCGGGGATGTCTCAAGCGGCTCGCCTGCTTCGGCGCCTCGGACTCGTCTCGCTGGATAGTCCGATGATCGTCGCGCTCACGCAGGCGTGGCATTGGGGCGCTCCAGGGCAAAGCCATCATGGGCTATGCCACTCGCCCTTTCGCGGCCAGATTTGGCGGCGTCTCTCAAGTGGCTCGGCTGTGTCGGCGCCTCGGACTCGTCTCCTTGGACGGCCCCACGGCCACCGCGCTGTAAAGCAGGTGTGGCACGTGGGCGCCCGCAGGAGGGATCTCCAGGGGGTATGGCACTCGCCCGTTCGCGGTCAGATGAGGGGTGTGTCTCAAGCGGCTCGCTTGTCTCGGTGCCCCCGACTCCGCTGTTTTGAGAGGCCGACGGTCCCCGCGACGTGGGTGGCGTGGCACCCGGGCACCCGAAGGAGGAGCCGCCAGCGGTTTTACCACGGGCCTATTCGTGACCATATTGGGGGCAGGTCTCAATTGGTTTGCTCGTTTCGGCGCCCCTGGCTCCTCTCTTTTGAGAGCCCGTTAGCCGCCGCGACACAGCAGGCGTGGCCTTCAGGCACCCGAAGGAGGAGCCGGCAGGGGGTACATCACAGTCCCGTTGACGCCTCGTCTGTGGGGATGTCTTGAGTGGGTCGCCTATTTCGGCGCGCCGGGTTTCTCTCTTCGGAGAAGAAAAAACCACATAAACATAGACCTTTGACGCTCCGCGCGGATTTCTTGGATTCGCGCTGGAGCGCGCCAGGGGCGGCGCCGGAGGCGCCGCCGGGGGGCCCGGGCGCCTGTGGGCGCGCCAAGGGGTAGCCTCCAGGGGGTGTGCCGTGGCCCCGTTCGCGGCCAGACTGTGGGGTTGTCTCAGGCGGTTTGCCTGTCTCGGCGCCCCCGGCTACTCTCCTTTGGGAGCCCGTTGATCACCGTGCTTTTGCAGTGGTAGCATCTGGGCACCCCAGGGAGGGGCCGCCAGGGGGTGTTGCACGGGCTCCTTCGCGGCCAGATTGCTGGGATGCCTCGGGGCGGCTTGCATATTTGATGGCTCAGACTGGTTGCTTCGTGATTGGTTGGTTCGCTTGATGGCTCAGATTGGTTGGTGCGTGCGACTTTGCTGCTCCATCGGTTTCGTCCCCGTTGTCCCTCCTTCGTCCTCTTTCCTTCGTTCTTCCTTCTTCGTCTTCTTCTTACGTGCCCTCCACTTCTTTCCTCTTCCTTTCTCCGCGCTTCCCTCTAACTCCCATCCTGTCAGAGCCCGCGTAGAGACCGCAGTGTAGCAGGCGCAGCACGCAGGCGGCCTAGGGGTGAGCCGCCGGGACAGCAGACTAAGTTCTCCCGTCACGAAGCTGGCAGCGGGAAGCGCCAGGAAATGCGATGCACATATGGGGACCTTCAAGTCGAGTAAGTTCAATTGAAGTGTCACCCGAGGCTCGAACTCTGTTTTTTCTATTTGGGGAAAGCTTGAGACTCAAACTCTTTTGGTGCCCCCCCCGACTACCACAGCAATGGCCCGCGCCTCTTCACAATTGATGAGGGAATCGCGCTTTCGCTCGAGGTCTCAAGCCAAATAACTCGAAATCGCGCTCTCGCCTGTAACATCTTTGAAATGTATCCCAGCGCCGCGCATTTGACGCCCAGCAATCGCGCTCATGCGTGGGACTTCTTTACGCCTGTATCAAGAATCGCACTCTCGCCTAAGGTTGCGTCACAATTGACGTACTTCGCTGCAGTGCCCCGCCCGGAACAAAGCCGTTCTTTAGTGTGCTGCTTTTTGTTGTTGGTTGGCTTGTGCTGCTAGGCCCAACAACATATTCCACCACCATCTTCCTCACGCCCTCCCTCTCCCAGGAGGGAGGAGAGGAAAAGGAAGGGTGGTGGAGGGAGGGGGATTGAAGGTGGTGGTGGTGGTGGTGGTGGTGGTGGTGGTTGTGGTGGAGGGAGCAGAGCAGGAGGAGGCGGAGGAGGCGGAGGCGGTGGAGGAGGCGAGGCCGAGGAGGGAGATTATGAGGGAGGAGATGGCGGCGGAGAAGGAGGACGAGGACTTGTATGCGAGAGGATGGGGCTGAAGAGGAGGGGTCGAGGAGGGAGGTACTTCGGGAGGAGGAGGAGGAGCGGGAGGGGGTGGGGGATGCTGCTGCTGCTGTTGCTGCTGCTGATGATGGTGATGGTGATGATGATGATGATGCTGATGATGATGATGATGATGCTGAGCGTGATCATGATGATGGTGCTGCTGATGATGATGATGCCGACGATGATGATGGTGGTGGTGGTGAAGACTATGGTGATGCTGCTGCTGCTGATGATGATGATGATGATGGTGATGATGATGATGATGATGATGATGATGATGCTGATGTTGCTGATGATGATGATGGTGATGATGCTGCTACTGATGATGATCAGGATGCTGCTGCTGATGCTGTTAATTTTGGTGAGGATGATGAGGATGGTGATGCTGATGATTGATGCTGCTGATGATGCTGATGATGATGATGACGAGTGCGATGCTGATATTGCTGATGATGATCCTTATGACGATGCTCGCGTTGTTGATATTGTAGTTGTTGGTGACACTGACAGTGCTAATGCTACTGATGATGCTGCTGCTGTTGATGATGATGGTGATGCTGATGCTGAGTCTGATGCTGATGATGATGATGATGTTGCTGCTGATGATGATGATGAATATATTGCGGATCACGCTGGCGATTATGACGGCAATGACGATGACGATGTTGCTGATGATGCTGCTGATGATGATGATGAGGCTGATGATGGAAGAAGAAGAGGCTGACGACGATGACGATGACGATGACGATGATGGTGGTGATGCTGATGTTGATGATGCTGCTCACGATGCCGATGATGCTGATGCTGATGATGTTGACGATGCTGATGATGCTGATGCTGATGCTGGTGCTGATGCTGATGCTGCTGATGATGATGATGATGATGATGATGATGATGATGATGATGATAATGGTGCTGCTTATGCTGATGAAGCTGATGCTGCTGATGATGATTCTGAGGAGGAGGAAGAGGAGGAGGAGGAGCAGGTTGATGATGAGCAGGAGGATGACGATGATGATGCTGATGGTGATGCTGATGATGAGGATGCTGCTGATGATTCTCATGATGCTGATGATGATGATGACGATGCTGCTTGTGATGATGGCGACGATGACGAGGATGATGATGCTGATGGTGATGGTGACGACGAGGAGGAGGAGGAGGAGCATACGGAGGAGGAGGAGGAGGAGGAGCAGGGGAGAGAGATGGGACGGGGAGGTGGGTCTCGGTCGGACCATGCACTTGTTCTGCGCTGCGCGCTATGGCGTGATCGCGCTGGCCTTCGAGGGCGAAGGCTGGACGGATTTTGTTGGACCGCGCCTTCATGCGGGTGATGATCGAGTATGTCAAGGACTTATGGGACAACCGATGATACGAAGGTCGAGGAGGATGAGGGGAGGGGGTGAAGAAGGGATGGTAGGGGAGGCTAAGAGTCGGATAATGGAGGAGGCGGGCCATCATGATGAACAATGGCACGAGCGCGATGAGGATGGGAAGGAGGAGAGGGTAGCGTTCAGGAGCAGGAGGACGAGGAGGAACAGCATATGCTGCAGCTCAGGCGGTATGCGCCAGTCAGCCCTCTAGAACATTCTCAAGTTCTTCAGACGTTGTATCCAAGACGTTTGCTTATGGTGGTTCCAGTAGCTCAAACTATGAGCGATTGCGACGGCGTTGGCAATGTTTGAGACAGGTATACCAGTCATACTCTCCAAAACGAATGTGTGTGTGTGTGTGTGTGTGTGCCGCGCCCACGGTCTGTGGTTCGCGGCAAACTGCGTCCGATTCATATGCTTATGCTTGTGCCGCTGGCGTGTGTTTCTGTTTCTGCCAGTGCTTGTGTCCGTGCGTGTGTGCTGCGCGTGTGCGCCAATGCTTGTGGCCTGTGGGCAAGCGTCCGTCTGGCAGTGCTGCCATTTGTGTTTCTGCGGGGCCCTGTGCCTATGCCGATGCCAGTGCTGAAGCTTTAGCACCATCCTCAATGAGCCCTCCTCAGATGTCAGCTTGGCTTGGCTTTCACTAGTTTGGTTCAGCTAGGCACAGCGAGGCTTCGCCCAGCCTAGCTTTCACTTGCTTTTCTTAGCTCACCTGAGCTCAGGTTCGCTACGCCAAGCTTACCCATGGGGTGTCGAAGGCTGGCGGGTCTACTATTACGCTGTCTGACGCAACGCAAGTGTAGCCCTTGCCTCCACCAGCTCAGCTAATCTGGGCTTCGTTTATCTTCACTGGACGTAGCTACGTGCCGGCACCCTGAGCTACAGCTTCACTATTGAGCCGTAGCCTATCGAAACTCCGACTGGGGCTTGATTTGAGCTCTGGCTTGGGTGCTGACCATCGCTCAGCTCCGACTAGTAGGTATCAGGCGGTCTTGACGTTGCGTGTGCTGGCTTTTGCTAATGCTTGCCTCAAATTCGTTTTCCTTTGTCAGTCTAGCAGAAGCGAGCGTCTGCATAACTATGAAAGCAAGCACGCGCGAGCAAGAAATAACAGCAAAACAGTTCGATCATGTAGAACAGGTGTCCGCGATCGCAAGTTCTTCAGCAACTTGATTATTTTCTTGTGTAGAGTGTAAGTTGATACGAACAATACGTGGTGACTGACGGGTAACACTTCAACTCAAATTGTTGTCAAGGGGCAGTGCAACACCATAGCAATGACCAACGAGCAATTGGCAATGTGCATGGAGCAAGCGGCACTGCGCACGTATCACCAGAGTAACGGGCAAGAGGACGTGCTAGTGACGGAAGCACACTCCAGGGTGCAAGGATTGCGGGACGAGGAGAGAATGGCAAGTCGCCAATGACCAAGAAGCAATGCTCAAGGAAGAGCTGGCAAACCCTGAGCTTCGGCAAGCCGGGGGATGAGGAGCCTTGACCTGGGCGGGGGAGCACTGCAGGAGGAGTCTTGGGAGAGCCGTGCGGAGCGATGCGTCAGCACGGAGCACGGCGCAGCGAGTGAGGGGCCGTGGCTGCAGATCAGGCGTGCAGCCAAGACTTGGCATCGCTCGGACGTGTGCATTTTTTTCCTTCGGCGGCGGCCATCGAGGAGCATCCCTGATCATGTGGCGAAAAAGCCACGCACGAAAGCGAACAAAAAAACAGGAGGAGGAGGAGGAGGAGGAGGAGGAGGAGGAGGAGGAGGAGGAGGAGGAGGGAGCGGACGTCCGAGTGATGGCGAGGAGATGGTGCTGCCGGGGCCGCAGGGGGCTCGGGAGGGGCTCTGGCTCCCGGGCCGCGCCTCGGGTCCGGGTCGTTTGGGGGGGGCCCGCTCGTGGCTCGGGCCCGCCGTGGCCAGACGAGGCCTCTCTCCGCTGTGTATGTCACCACCTACCAAACCACCCCAACCCAACCCGAAGGCCCAAATTTGCCCTCCATTTCCAGTGGGGGGGGGGTCGGGGAACGTTGAGAAAACACATATGAAGCCCGCCCCCCCCCCAACCCGAAAGTCGGGTCTTCGGGTTGGGTTGAGGTGGTCTGGTAGGTAGTCAGTATGCAGCGCTCGTCACGGCAGGATGATGGGCTCGGAGTTTGATAGACCTCCTACCTTTTTTGGGGGGGGGTCGGCGGGGCGAGAGCGAACCTCTTCCGCGAAAAGCTGGGCGGGCTACGCGCAGCTCTGATCAGGGAGGCGGGGCGCAGGGAGGGCGGGGCCGCAGACGGCCGGAGCGGGTGGAGCCCGGGGCGCAGGCGGTGCCGAAGAGCGTGCACGGGAGAGGGTACGCCGTGGACGGGGCCGGGGGCGAAGTCTCCTAGCCTGACGCGTCGATTAGTGGATTGGCGGTTTTGGGTTCGCGAGAGGGCGTCACGGCCGCTGTTTTTGCGGGACCAGGTCCGTCGGTTTCGGTCCTGGGCCGTTTTCGCGAAAGGGTGGTTTACTGAAGGGAGGTTTGTACACCGCCGATGGGCGTACCCATCGGTCGCTGAAAGCAGGTATCTTTGGAGTCCCAGAGTCCAATCTACTGCAAGCGCCTTCCCACTTCAAGGATCGAATGGCTTCACCTCTGCCGTCCTCCTCAGGGGGCGGACGGAGCCTGATTTGCTTTCAGCGTCTTCATGCTTCGTGCTTCTACCTACTTCTTCCGACCGATGGGTAACGAGTGCATCGGACATCGAAGGTCCAGGTAACGGGCAGTGACCGATGGGCCACGCGTAGACGGGAATGGGCAAGGGTTCGAGAGCGTGCTCGCGGATGGGATGGGAGAGGCCCCGCGCCGAGGGGATCTAGCCAGCAGCGCGTGCGGGGAAGCGAGCAAGACACCGGGAACCAACGCGTGCACATCCCTTTCGACGCAGATCGTCACCACCCACCAAACCACCCCAACCCAACCCGAAGGCCTCGATTTGCCCTCCATTCCTAGTGGGGGGGGGGGGTCGGGGAACATGGAAAAACCACATGGAACCCGTACCCCCCCAACCCGAAATTCGGGTCAAATTCGGGTCTTCGGGTTGGATTGGGGTGGCCTGGTAGGTAGTCAGATCGTGCACGGACAGATGGAGCACGTGGGGCGAGAATGGTACATGGTAATGGTGACTGGGGACATGCCCAGGATTAGTTAGCACGCAGGTCATCTGCCAACAGCGAACAGGGGACACACTGCTGGCGAATCTCTGGCGACTGCTGAGTAGTACGACGTACTAGAGTGTAGAATCTGAGTCCGCACGTGTCGCCAATCCTATCCATATGCTGCGCACCGGTATGGCTTGCAAGAAAGTGCGTATGTCGTGCACGTGCGTCCAGCAATTCTGACGTTTCTCGCGCTCCGCCAGCCCACCTCGCACCATAGCTGTCGCTCGCGCAGGTGGTCGCGATGATTGGGACGCTGTTGCGTGGTGGCAGTTTCCCTTCGCTGTCGTGTGATGCCCGCGGGGGGAACAACAACGCCCTTGTGAAGACCTTCTCCCCCTCACCAGTCGCTGCCCTTGTCCCGCTCCCGCTTCCCCTCCGCCCCCGAACTATCATGACGCTGGCCCTTGAGGACGAGCGGTACCTCCAGCTGCACATGAACCTCCTGCGCGACTCCTCCAAAGCCATCCGCATGGAGGCGGGCGGAGTTGTCGTCCTCACCGCCGCCGCCGCCGTCGGTGCCGTCACCGCCGCCGTTGCCGTCGCCGCCGCCGTTGTCGTTGTCGTTGGCGTTGTCGTCGTCGTCGTCGTCGTCGTCGTCGTCGTCGTCGTCGTCGTCGTCGTCGTCGTCGTCGTCGTCGTCTTCGTCTTCGTCGTCGTCGTCGTCGTCACCGCCGCCGGCCGCCGGGCGCCGTTGCCGCTGCCGCTGCCGCCGCCGCCGTCGTCGTCGGCGTCGGCGTCGCAGCCGCCGTCGCCGTCGCCGTTGCCGTCGCCGTCGCCGTCGCCGTCGCCGTCGTCGCCGCCGGACGCCCACGCGCCTGGCGGCCGCCGCGTCTCCGCCCCGCTGCGTGCGGCCCGCCAGCCAGGCCCGCCCTGCCGACCCCCAGGCACGCCCTCCTCCTCGGGGCCGCCGCCGATGCCGCAGGAGGATCCCCGGGCCGACGAAGGCCACGATGGGGCGGCGGGGCCCCACGTCGACGCCGACGTTTCCGCGCTCAGCCTCCTCCTCCTCCTCCTCCTCCCCTCTCCTCTCCTCCTCCTCCTCCTCCTCCTCCTCCTCCTCCCTCCTCCTCCTCCCTCCTCCTCCTCCTCCTCCTCCTCCTCCTCCGCCTCCTCCTCCTCCTCCTCCGCCTCAGGGTCAGCGGTCCCTGCGGGCCACCTGGCACTTCTGGCCAGCACCGCCGAGGAGGCGCCATCGGCGCCCGGGGGCCCCGCCGCGGCCCCTACCCACTCGATGGGGCGGCGGCGGCGTCTCTCGCCTTCGGCGCGTCCCCGTCCACGTTCCGGGGGCCTCGGGAAGCTGAGCGTCTCCTCCTGCTGCTTTGCGTTGCATCTCGACCGTCTCCGGAGGCGGTAATTACTCCGCTGCACCAGTGGCACGCGTTCGCGGAGCCCGAAGTTCTCCGCGCCCCACCTGCACCTCCACGTCTTCACGCAGCACTTCGTGCTGGACAGGTCCTGGCGTCGCTCGGACGTGTGGTCGGACGTCGCTCGAGGAGCATCCTCTGGATCATCTGGCGAAGCAAGCACGCACGAAACGGAAACATGCACGGGGAGTGGGCGTCCGAGCGATGGCGAGAGGCAGGCCCACGTCGGCACCCAGGGAGCCCGCTTCTTGGGCTGGAGCACCTCGGTTGCCACCTCCTCGGCCTTCTCCTCCTGGCTATCCTCCCTTAGGAAGCCCTCCAGATTGATGCGCATCTTCATGTTGAGCTGTATCCGCGAGCCCTCGGCTGAGGGCGGGATGCTCTCCTCGTTGATCTTCGCCTCCTCGCAGTCCATCTCCTCAGGGTTGTCCGTGGGCTGCTGCTTCACCTGCGGCGGTGAAGGTCCAGCCACCGGGTCCTCCGCAACCATGGAGCACAGGCTCTGGTTGCGATTGAACTCCTTCTCGATCTTGGCCTTCAGCTCTGTCCAGGAAGCTGCCAGCTCCAGGTCGAGCTGGAGGTTGTCCTTGAACTGCGCCAACTCGATCTTGGCTGCGTGCTGCTCCCCCGAAAGGTCTGAGCGCAGCCACTTCTTCTTGGCCTCTTCGAAGAGCTTGCGATTCCGCTTCCGCTCCTTGAGGACTGAGGGGGCAGGGAGGTTCTTCCGCTTGCCAGTGTTGCCAGGGGCGCCAGGCGACGCCATCCGCGCAGACAACAACGTCAGCCTGTTGAACAGCCCGAAAACCTTCGCAGAAGTCCCCGATCTGGGTGCCTAGCTGCTCTGAGAGGAAGCACGCGCTGACGTGGATCACCAGCTGCATCCGCTCACGCCATGGCCCGCGGCGGCTGCGCGGCTCCGAATCGCGCCGCCCGTCTCCCCCCGCTCCTGGGGACGGAGCCGCTAGGAGGAGGAGGAGGAGGAGGAGGAGGAGGAGAAAAAGGCGGAAGAGGAGGAGGAGGAGGGAGGAGGAGGAGGACGAGGTGGAGGAGGTGGAGGAGGAGGAGGAGGACCCCCTCCCCCTCCAACTTATGGTGGTGGTGGTGGTGGTGGAAAACAGGCCCATCATAACCTACTCCGAGTTTCAGATTGAGCGTCGGGGGGGCGTCACCCCCGCCGACAGCCCCACGTCGACCCCCGTCGCGGGCAGCCACCGCGCGCCGGAGGCGCTCTCGACCCCCGTCGCGGAGCGACGACGAGGCGATGTTAACACCCGTCGGGGGGGTACCCCCCACGCTTGTTAAGAAACCCAGAGTCGCATAACGTATAAATGGGTTGCAGATGCCACACGTGGCTTGAAGCGGATGGTTATTCCAATTAGTGGGACCCGCCCGCTTGGCCCAGATCTTTGCCCCCGTGAGCCGCTCAGGCCAATTGCGACCCACTTGTAAGCCAGGTTATGCCAGATTGACTTATCTTGGAATCCATTGAGAACCTCCTTTATCCTCTTAGAAGGCCCAGCAGTGATGCGAGTAGACTCAGGGGGGATGCACCCACACCCAATCGCCCGTGTTGATCGCCGTTAGGGGCACGACGGCCCATCCCGCCCAGGAGCGTGCGGATTCGCTATATCGGGAGCCCACCGCCGATCTAAGTACTATCGGCGAGGTACCGCCGGTTCCAGGGCGCTGCTTCCCCCGCTGAGCCAGTTCCCCCCAAACCGTTCGTCCTCACAGAGAGGAGTAGGCTTGCAACGTCAACCAGGCCATAGCCGAGCGGAGTCGCTCGACGTCCCAGGCCCTCGCGGGAGAGAAGAGGAACTCCCAGCGTCGACGCTACAGCTGGCGCGGGGGTGAACAACAGCCCTAGGTCTGCAGGGGTACCCTGGCGGTCTTCGAGAGAGGGGAGGGGAGGGGAGGGGAGGGGAGGGGGAGGGGAGGGGAGGGGGAGGGGGAGGGATGGGAGGGGAGAGGGGGTGAGGGAGGGAGGGAGGGAGGGAGGGAGGGAGGGAGGAGGAGGAGGAGGAGGAGGAGGAGGAGGAGGAGTGGGCACTCCCCCGCCGCCCGGAGGCGTTCCAGGTGTTCAAGATCTTCGCGGCGAACCCGAACAAGCCTCGGCGCGTGCAGATCATCCTGCACCGCAACAGGGACGCGAGGGGGCGCCAGGGGGGGGGGGGGGGGGGACGGGGCGCGCGCGCGGCTGGGCCGCCTCTCGCCCCGAGGGGCCTCTCGGCCTCTCTCCCTCCTCCCTCTCCCCTCTCCCCCTCCCTCTTCCCTCTCCCCCTCTCTCCCTCCTTCCCTCTTCCCTCACCCCCGCTTCCTCAGAACTGCGTTGCGCCAGCAGTGTTGGCGCCGTCGTCGCCCTCGCCGCCGTCGCCGTTGCCGTCGCCGTCGCCATCACCGTGGCGCCCGCGCAGGACCGGCTCGTGCAGCTGCTCGGCGCCCTGCGCCCGAAGGAGGACGACTCGCCCGTCGCCAGGCCCGCCCGCCCTTGCCTTCGACCTCTGTGCGCGCGTTGCGCGCCGACGCCGCCCCGCCTGCATGAGCCGATGGGGTGCACCCGCCTTCGCCCCGGCTGCGGGCCTCGCCCTCGCCATGGGGGAAGCGGGTCCTGAGGGAAGCGGGTCATGAGGTTGTTTAGTCGCTTCGCTCATCCTCCATCCTACTCCATCCTCCCCGTCCTCCTTCGTCCCTCCACTTTCCCACTGTTCTCATCCTCCCCGTTCTCCTCCTCCTCCTCCTCCTCCTCCTCCTCCTCCTCCTCCTCCTCCTCCTCCTCCCCCTCCCCCTCCTCCTCCTCATCCGCCTCCTCCTCCTCCTCCTCCTATTCCTCCGCCTCCTCCTCCTCCTCCTCCTCCTCCCCTCCTCCTTTGCCTCCTCCTCCTCCCTCTCCTCCTTTGCCTCCTCCTCCTCCTCCTCCTCTTCGTCTTCCGCCCCCCCCGTGGGCCGCCCCGCGGTCCCGCGCAGGTCCCAGGGCGGCGCCGTGTTCGAGCGCGACCTCGCCACGGCGAGCGCGGCCGGCCCCCCTCCCCCCCCCCCCCCCCCCCAGATCGACGATCTGATTCCTCCTCCTCCTTCCTCCTCCTCCGCCTCCTCCTCCTCCTTTCGCCGCCTCCTCCCCTCCTGCTCCGCCTCCTCCTCCTCCTCCTCCTTCTTCCCCCTTCCCCCCCTCCTCCTCCTCCTCCTCCTCCTCCTCCTCCTCCTCCTCCTCCTCCGCCTTCTCCCCCCAAATCGAGGATCAAGCAGTGGCGAAGCGTCCTGGCTCGCTGAATTGGCGCGCCAACTAATGTTATTCCAAGAACCTTTTGTGGTCTGCACGAGATGTTACCACTTCTGGTTGAGGGTGTCTTGTTTTAACACATCGGGTTCAGGTTCTAAGAACTTGTTATCGTTCTTATACATTCTCTAGGTTCTAAGAACATGTCGTGGTAGGCCTGTGAGAATGCCGGGACGGTTGGTCCCTGCTCAATTGGCATCGCTCGGGCGTGGGAAGACGACAAGCTAGAGCATGTTGGACAATATTGGGAGAATCCTGGGATCTGTGCCTGTTTATTTGTGTGTGTGTGTGTCCCTGCCCTCCCCTGTAAAAAAACACGCACGAAACTCTAGGCTTCCTAGATGGGGTCTGGGTTGATGGGGTCGGAGGATCGCGCCGCATCGCCGATGCATCGGCGATGCGGCTCGATGTGGAGCCCGTGTTTCCCCACGCCGACGTCGCCGATGCATCGCCGACGTCGCCGATGCATTGGCGAAGCGGCGCGATCCTTCGACCCCACCTGCTCGGGCTCCCTCTGGGAGGCATCTATCAGGAGGGAACAGAAACACACAGACACAGTTGATCGTCGGCTCCCCAGAACAATATGGGAAAGTGTCGGAAGTGGGGGGGGGGAAGGCAAGAGCCAAGCACACATGGGAGCACGTGTGGAATCCTTCTACTTGTGCCTATGGATTTGTGTGTCCCGGGGTCCCTCCGATCTAGAAGCCTTGGGCGTTGCGTAATGGGGGGGTCATAAATGGGGGGGTGGCGAGGGTGGCCCGAAAAGGTACCCAAACGGTACCTCAACGAGCCCCCTGGGGCTCTGGGAAAGGGGACCGAAAGGGGCACGAAAGGGGACCTTTTCTGACCCCCCCATTTGTGACCCCCCCATTAAGCCACGCCCAGAAGCCGCGGAGTGGACGTCCGAGCGGCGGCGAGGCTCTTCTCTTCCGGCCCGGGGCGCTCTGCCCCGATGCTCTCTCGGCCCTGGCGCCGGGCCCGCCGTCGGGCCCCTCGCGAGGGCATCCCCAAAAAGGGGGGGGGCGCCCGGTCGGCGAAGGCCCGGCCCGGGGGGAATTCCGTCCTGGGCTCCTTCTCCTCCTCCTCCTCCTCCTCCTCCTCCTCCTTCCTCTTCCTCTCTCCTCCTCCTCCTCCTCCTCCCTCTTCCTCCTCCTTCCTTCCTTCCTCCTCTTCCTTCCTCCGCCTCCTCGCCTCCGCCTCCGCCTCCTCCTCCTCCTCCTCCTCCTCCTCCTCCCTCCTCCTCCTCCTCCTCCTCCTCACCTCCTCCTCCTCCTCCTCCCCCTCCTCCTCCCCCCGCCCCCGTCAATCCCAGGACTTATTTGGGGGCTTGTGGTGTGTGTATAATATGTATGTATGTATATATATTTATATATATATATATATATATATACACCCGCTTCCCTGGGAAACAGCGAAACATGTATACACCAGGATCCCATATACGCCAGGATCCGCTTTCCTGAGCAAATTTCAGTACAGGGCTGGAACAAGTCATCGGTGAATAGAGTTCGGTTACCTACTTCTCTTCCCCTTCCCCCACTCGCCTCTGCACCCTGCCGCCTGCTGGGCCAGCCCCCGCTTCCTTCTGTTTGGGGGTCGTCTGTTGGCCTGTTCTGTTTGGTCTCGTCGGGGCGCTGCAGGCCAGCCCAGGGCGAGGGTTAGGTCGGGCATGTCCTCCTACAGGCGGATTTCGGAGGAACATTGGAACAACAGTTAACCACATTCAAACATGGTCAAGACTAGTCAAGCAATCGTGGCCAGCCTATTTTTGGACCATTTTTGGATACTGCTCCTGTAGATGGACATGCCCGGCTTAAAGGCGAGGGGTGAGCAGCATGGGGTTTGAGGACAGGCCCGCCGAGCCATCCTCGCTGCTCGCTCGCCTGCGGGGGGCCGATGCGCAGGGTGTGTCCGCGCCTTGGTGCCCCAGGCCCCCCCCAAGCAGAAGAGCGAGTGCCTCAGAGGCCCCCCCCAGCAAAAGGAGGAGGAGGAGGAGGAGGAGGAGGAGGAGGAGGAGCAGGGGGAGGAGGAGGGAGGCGAGAGAGAGTAGGAAGCGGCGTCGGACGAGGCGGCGGAGGAGGAGGAGGAGGGGGAGGAGGAGCAGGAGGATGGAAGGCCAGAGGGGGGGCTCCAGCAGGTCTCCATCCACAGTTCATCATGCCGCTTTTCTGCATGTCCATCTACCTGCCTTGAACATGATCTCCCCGTCCTCACCCTACTGCTATCACGCCGCTTCCCTCATTTCCATCTGTCTCCCCTGCATCCCTGGAATCACCTCGTCCCTTCCCTTCCTTTCACCCCTGTCAACCTCTCGCCTTACTGTTTCCCACTTCTCCACCTGCTGTTCTACCTCCGCTTCCACCTCTCCTTTTTTCTTTGGTTCTTCTCTCTCTCTCTATCTCTCCACCCTCCCTCCCTCCCCTCCTCCATCTCTCTCTTTCTCACTCTCTCTCTCTGTCTCTGTGTTTTTTGTTCTGTCGTTCTTTGTCTCTCCCTCTCTCTCGTTCTCTCTCGTTCTTAGGTGATCATTTTTTTCATCCTTTTTCTCTCTCTCTCTATCTTTCTCCTTCGGCCCCTCTTTTCTGTTTTGAGGTTGTTTTGTTTCGTTCTCTCTCTCTCTCTCCCCCCCTCCCTCTCTTTCTCTGCCTCTCCCCTCCTTATATACATCTCTCTCTCTCCTTCTCTCCCTCTCGCTCCTACTCTACCCTGAAGGTGGTCAAACTACTGGGCGCACTGGAACTGCCTTCCAAGGTGGTCTCACCGCAAGCCTCGGGCAAGCCCTGCTGAGGGCTATGTGGAGAGGGAGGGTAAGGAAGAAGGTTGAGGCAGTCCTTGAGGAACATACGGATGTGGGAGGAGGACGGGGAGGAAGACGAGGCGGAGGGGGAGGGGTAGCACTAGACGAAGAGGAGGAGGAGAACGAGGAGGAGGAGGAGGAGGAGGAGGAGGAGGAGGAGGAGGAGGAGGAAGGGAATGATCATGATAAGCCTGCTGTTTTCCCGCCCCGCTGATTATTGTGTACACCACAACGATCCTTACCGCTCTGTTCTGTAGCCAGCGAGTGAACGTAAGCCACGGAGCCGAGCCCTTCTTTGGCCCTGTTGCGCACTTCACCTGTCCCCAGAACCACCATCCTACATACTGTGCTGGGTTCGGGAATGCAGCCGGTCATCTCGCAAGCGCACCCTGTCTCATTGACAGAAGGAGCAAGCACAGCAGCAGACTCGACCTCGAATTATTGTGGCGCCACCGCGTGTGGAAATTTTGTCAGAAGGTTGCTTCCAGCGCTGGCCAGAAGGGAAAGCGAGATGATCGATGTACTTATCGAAGACTTGTCTGGCGAATCACTGCCGCCCCCTGCCTTTGAAAGCGCCCATGTTGTGGAACGTCGGGGGTCAGCGCTGTAGTGCTAGTGGACCGCGTGTTACCCAGGCTTTGGGGAACATCACTTGGGAGGGGCCCTCTGGGGCCGTCTTGGGACTGGTCTTGGGCTTTGGTCAGGCTTTTTTGGCCCTCGTGGGGGCCTCCTGGGTTGTCTCGGGGCTATCTTGAAGGTCTCGCCGTCGGAAGCACTACAAGGCGAGAGCGCCGCGAACATCTTGCAACACACGTAGAAGTTCAGTGAGTTTGGCCTCTTCGGGCCCTCCTGGAGGGCTCCTTGGCGCCCTTCCTCTTGGCGCCCTCCCGCTTGGTCCGTCTTGATGCAGTATTGGGCCGTCTGTGGGTCATGTTGAGCCGTCTTAGGGGACATCGTGGGCGAACTCGGAGGCATCTTGGACCCCCTTGGTGGCCATCTTGGATTGGGCTACTGTGGATCTCACGATGGCCGTCTTGGGACCTTCTTGGGGGCCTCTTGGACTGTCTTGGGGTAATCTTGGAGGTATCTTAGGCCGTCATGGGCCGTCGGACCCCCTAACACAGAATCCCGCTCTTTTGGTATACTAAGTGGTGTTAGCCTTTTTGGGCCCTCCTGAAGGGCCTCTTGGAGCCCTCTTGGGCTCTCTTGAGGTCACCTCGCAAGTCCGTGGGCCTTCTCGGATCACCTTGGAGGCGTCTTGGATGAATTGCTGGGAGGCCTATTGGACCGTCTCGTAGTCGCCTTGGAACACCTGGGCCCAACTTCAAGGCCATCCTGATCATTTTCATGGTGCCAACATCGCAGAGCGGACCTCGTTCGGAAAAAGTTGGGATGGGCTCGGGGTGTCCCGGAGAATGTCGTTCCAGATTTCGAGGCCAGGAATGAAGACCAAGAAGAATCCAAGCGAAATTCTCTTCATTTTTCGCTCGCCGCTCCGGTGCTCCGACATTTGGCACGCCGTGGAGGAGTACGGTTGAGGAGGAGGAGGAGGAGGAGGAGGAGGAGGAGGAGGAGGAGGA